AGTGGTCTACATTTTGTTAATGTAGACCACTGACCATACCTGCTACAGGTACATATGGTATATTGCTGGATTCAGCACAGTCTGACATTTCCAACAAATCCTGTTTGGTATTTGTGGGACTATCCCAGCCAGAGCCACCTTAAAGTAAATAATACAGTCATCATAGATGCTAAAATTTGATATAAATATATTTGATATATTTGATATTTTATATAAATCGTTACATTTCTGTTATGTAATGTGCTAACTAAACTGACATGATATATATATCTATCTCCGGCTACAAATATTTTCTGGTTGTGGCTGAGAATTACATGGCACTGACTAGGTGACCTTGCTAACTTGGAACTTCAGTGTTTAAATGATTATGTAAACAGCAAAAGATCTGGTCTTCTTTAGGCGTTTAAAGAATATACAGCTGTTACATCAGTATTAGCTGTATTATCGTCCAATTTTCATAATTATTTATAACCAAATTTAAGGGATCCTTATGTTTGTTTTATTTAGTTAAAATAAAATATATCAGCTAATTGCACAGAATTGACCAGGGTCAATTTTCTTTTTATTTACAGTTATATAATATATTGCAGTCAGGGTTCCCGTGAATGTATATTTTGTTGTATTTAGAGTAGCTGTTGAAAAAGTATCTTTTGATGTTTTCCATGTAAGACCAATATTTGAGGCTGTTGGCATGTTTATAAGTATAATAGGGCTATAATAGAAAGTCAGTGTAATTTAAATACAATATATAAAAAATACATTATATGCCATAAAACAAGATAACAATTTAAAGTGGACAATCTACAATGTTGTAAGATAATCTATAAAAGAAAGAATATATACATATATATATATATACACATATATATGTACATTGTTACTTTGTCGTAAGAAATGTTCAAAAATAAATTTCTTACAACAAAGTAGACATGCACAACAGTTTGTACGTGTAAAATCTGATTGCATATCCCTGTGCAATCATCCTGTTTGATGAAGTGCGAGAAGACAGGAATCAGAGAGTGCATAGGTTCGCAGTTGTTCCCAGGGTTTGGGGGGTGGGAATGAGTGCTATGAGTTCAGGTGAGCTATGGGCTTGGATTATCTTTGAATTATTGCAGAAGAGATGGCACTTCTGTTGAATTTTCTCCAGCAAGTTGTGGGCTGTATCAAGGTGAAAAGTGTATCCTGGGTTGAGGGACTACTTGACAATAGTCTTGCACTTCCTGCAGTGGTTGGTATACGGAGACTCTGCTTGGGAGACATGAGATTCAATCTGCAGTTTAAAATACTATGGCCTCATGGAACATCAGTTACAGAACTAAGTGAACAACCATGGGCTCACCCATATCCCTTATTGTAGCTAACATGTAAATGTAACATTCTGAATAGACTGCCCTGAACTCCTACCCCACAGGTCAGAGTCTAACCCAGCTGCAGCAAGGACTCAACCTTGGTATATGGGGCGCCAAGTGAGCAACCAGGGCGCCCCAAATATTGAGTATAAATATAAGTATTTCTAAATGTGAACCCCAATGGAAAGGTACAGTATGTGATCAATCAGATTATTTTATTCAACATTAAAAGTATTTCTTCACTACAAAGTATATTTTGGCCTACTGTAACTTTATGCACAGTGTACCGTAACTCTCTGCACATTTAATGACAAATGATGGCAAAATATGATGTCATAAGTGACAGCATATGATTTCCTAGGGAAAATACACCATTTTATTCATATGACTTTATGTGAACAGTATATGGTAAGCAACAAACTGCTTATACAAAGTAAAGTGTGGCTTAGCAATCTTCACCAGTAATGAAAAAATATAAACAAATAAAATGTTCAAACCAAAGTTCAAAGTACGTTAATTACAAATCTTTACAACTTAGTTAATAAAGTTGATGTTAAAAGTATCAACCTCATGGGAAATACGTCACATGGAATGAAACCTTTGTCAATGGCCTGAAAAAACAACATCTTGTTCTTTTTGATGGAGATAAGTTCCAAAATACATCTGTGTGTATAATTATCAACAAAGTTACCCATAGACGGATTCTTTCACACCCCCTACAACATCTCTATTGATCATACATTCTATTGTTCAAAAACAACATTAAATTGTCATTAAGGAGTGCACATGCTGTGAATGACCATAACAATTTTCCACCATTACAGAAACCAGGGTTCAGTCCTGGGTTCTGGTTGCAAAACCTGATTGTGCATTTCAACTGGCGTTGTAAGTTTGTGGGAGGAGGGTGAGGGATCATGTCACTTTTTGCCAAACTAGCAATCCCTACAGGTCAGGGTGCCTATATAGAGGGGTGTGGTGTCCAAGGTGGGAGGATTGGCGTTCGGGACATGAATGCTGCTCTTATGGCCTCCCAATGAATGACCTTGCTGGCAAGTGGCTTGTATCACTGTGTGCATCAGAGAAAACAAGACTTCTATCGAGGCAGGGCAACCACTGAATAAGAAAATGTTTTGTGTTGCACAGCAACGGCAAGAACATAGATTCTTCTGAATGGCAACATTACAAAAACAAGGTCTATAGAGGATTGCACGATTCATTTAGCTAAATCATGGACATAGGAGTTTGAGAGGTACAAACATGAGACACACTTGACATTCAAATGCATCTGTACTATCTAAGAAACTTGTACAAAAACATTCAGTCACTGTTCTGCAGAAATGCTAACTTCATGCTGGTTTTTGAATTTTTGGCAAGCACAGCTCACAGAATATTTCAGCTCCACTGTTCTTCAAACAGCAACACACTTATGTGTCTGACAAGTGGATCACCAATTCATCAGTCTGTGGAAGGTCACTGTCGCCTAGCAATTCTGTTTCAGGCACTGACAAGTCCTTGTTTTGGTCTACCTCTTCCTGGGACGTCCTATCAGCCAAGTCCTCAGTTGTAGTCTTGGAGTCCTCGTTTAGCAAAGCTGCTCGCTCTGTGACGGACGTGTTGGAAGGGGCAGTCGTGACATAGCCTGTAGATGTGGATCCACTGCCACTATGGTGAGAACCAGCTTTGGGAACCATCTGTGGTTGGTGGTGCATCTGCTGGTGAGGCATGGGCATCTGTATTTGCATGGGGTAAAAGTTCTGCAGATATGGGTAAGCTGGCATGGGGTGATATCCATTCACAGGGATGTAAAGCTGCGGGGGCACCATTGGCCTATGCATTTGACCCTTCATGGGAATGAACTGGGGCTGATGGAATGGTGAACTCTTTTTAGGGCTGGTGTAGCGCGATGCATTTGCTGTGCTCATGCTGATGTTGCTAACCGGGCTGGTGCTGAGAGAGCTGGTCTGGGTAGTGTTGCTGGTGCCCGAAGTCTGAGCTGAGCTGTTGTAGTTGGACAGGCTCTCCCAGGAGCGCAGGCGTGTGTGTATGTCCTTAAAGCGAGGCCTTCTTGCTGGGAATTCACTCCAACACTCCAGCATAAGGGTGTAAATCCAGGTGGGGCAATCATCCGGACAAGGCAGTAGCTGGTGGCTGCGCATCATCTCAATCACATCCTGGTTGGAGTAGCCACAATATGGCTGCAGACCGTAACTAAAAGTCTCCCACAGCAAGACACCATAAGACCAGATGTCGGAGTCGGTGGAGAACTTGCCATACATAATAGCTTCTGGGGACATCCAACGAATAGGGAAAGGGCTTGTGCCCATTAGATTGTAGTAATCAGCAGAGTAGACGTCTCTGGACAGTCCCAGATCCAGGATCTTGATGCTTAGTTTGTCAAAGATCAGAATGTTTCGGGCAGCGAGGTCTTTATGGACTACTTGCTGACTGGAAAGATACTCCATTCCGGCAGCCACCTGGGTGATAACGTGAAGAAAATCGGCCTGTTCCAGTGTGGATTTGACTGTCTTGTCATCATCTGAGCTGCCAACATCTGAGTTGGGGGAGCGCATCACCAGATACTCATGCAGGTCACCAAGGCTGGAGTAGGTGAATATCATACTCATTGGATGCTCTTTGGTAACCACACCCAGCAAACAAACAATATTTTGGTGCTGTAGGTAAAAGCGGAGCATGGCTTCGTGGCGAAACTCCTCACACAGACTGGCATCAACCTTGTCCTTTAAAGTCCTGATGGCCACCACCTGGGTCTGCTCTCCAGGTGCAGTGCCATACAGGTGGCCCTTGTAAACCTTGCCGAACCGATCCTCGCCAAGCTCCTCCATAAACCGCACTGCTGACATGTTAATCTCGCGCAGCTTCGCCTGCAGCCACAAAGTAATACAAGCACATGTCATCAAAGTGTATGGCCAACAATAAAACCTAATGTAATAGTTTAGCACTGCAATGCAACAAGTCTTAATTCAGGTATACATTAGTCACTTTCTTTTTTAGTACTAGGTGTTCAGACCAAACCAACCACTGCATTTAAAAAAAAACAAAGCATCTAGGGATTTCAGTTTTAGTCATAGATGCATGAGTTTTAGGGTTTACCAGACATCAACTGCACAGTGGTTTATAATGCTATGAGACAGGATTTTTACAACTTCAGAATGTCATTTTAAACTCTCCATAATCAATGGGTTACAGTAGAATCAACCCAATTGTGTTACAAAGTGATAGTGACCCATTAAGTGCAAGGTTTAACTGTGTGCTTTTTAGTTATTCTCTGTGTTAAATTGAATGGTGGGGTGGTGTTTTCTAATGCAGTGCTAATGTCAGTCGAAACCCAGCTGGAAAGAATGTAAATGAAATACCCCTACATCAATAGGCCGGTACTGTGTGTGCATTACCTGGTGTTTTTGCTGATTGAGGAGAGACAGCTCCATGTCCTGGCTGGGTGAGCTGTTGAGCTGGCATCGAGGTGGTGAGTCAATTGATGCCTTTTGCTTATTGCGACACATGCAAACCAGAAAGAAGAGGCAAGCGATGACCAGTGGGATGGCAATGGCAGGAATTAGAATGAACAGGATCTCCTTCCTGTGGTTCTCTGGAGGATCTTGAGATAGTAAGATAATAGACAGTAACAAGTTAAAAGGTTATATAATTATACATGAGATGAAATATTAATAAGGACAACCCAGCGCTCTCAATGACTTTAGGTCTGTAGCCTTCACATGTTATAAAGACCTTTAAGACACTGGTTCTGCAGCACCTCAGACCCCTGGTACGCGACTGCCTGGACCCTCTGCAGTTTGCGTACCAGACATTGGCATCGATGATGCCATCATCTACACTCAACAATAAACTGGACTGGACGGATCACACTGAGGCCCTCTACAGGAAAGGTCAGAGCAGGCTGTTCTTTCTGAGGAGGCTCAGGTCATTCAACGTGTGCACTCGGCTACTAACGGAGTCAACCAGGCTCTGTAATGGGCCATTGCTTCCATCTTTGCTTTGGTTTGTGGGGGAGGGAGGCATCGGGACTCAGGGGTTGCCAACAAGGCTTAGCAAAGGCTGCCTGTAAAAGGCCTAGGTGCAGTGGCTGCGGGGGATTTGGGAGCTGGACAGTGTTGGAGGCTGTGACTGAGGAAGAGGGGATAAAAGGCGAAGCTGCAAAAGCCATCCATGCTCTCTCACCCCTCTCATCCTCATCTTACACTGAGCTCAGGCCAGCTCAGGAGGGCACTTTTAGCCACAGACTGATCCAGCCCTGAGCCTCAAAAGCGGGTTTAGAAGCTTGGTTTGCTACCATCAGCCAATCAGACTCCACAAAGCACAGCACCCCCCCCCCCCCTGTACCTCCAACCCCCGCAGACAAAGACGGCTTAAAACTTCCTACCTTACAATGCACAAACTCCTACCTACAACGCCCACAACCTTTTCACTATTCTATTTAATTTACATGTACGTTTAGTTTTTCTTCAAGCCTGCTCAGTAATATTTGCACACTATTCTTACTGAATAGTTGCATAGTGGTATATCACTCATTTATAGTCTTATATTTCTATATTATCTTGTAATATTTTTATTTTGTGATATCTTGTTTCTACCTCCACTTTCTGTACTCTTTTTGCACTACATTGCCCTATGCCTGCTGTGTCAATTTTGAATTTCTCCAAAGGGGGATCAATAAAGGAACATATTATCTTATCTTATCTTAAGCAGCAGCAAACAACTATTTTCTATGTAAAGAAATATAAGCAGCAGAGTAGAGCGACTGAAACTGATGGTTCAATGGTTGAGATGGTTTAAATAATTTCCCCCTGGAATTAAGTATTTCTGATTCTGATTCTGATTTTATCATCTACATTTGAGAATTAAGGATTTATTTCAACCAAACCAGAGTTGTTGGAATAGTGGAAAGACTAACAAAGATGTTTTTGGTGAGTTTTATTTTGTTTGTCCACTTTAAATGAAGTTATGATGTGAGGTCAAATTGCTGTTTTTGTCTATGGAGTCTGGTGGGACTGATTACAGCTGTTTCTGGTTAAACAACAGGTCTATCTCTTTAGGGATCCTGTCCATAATGTTGTCAGACACAGAATAACAATCTGAGGCCTGGTCAATTGCAGAAACAACAACTTTCATAGGGGGATGGGACTTTGACAGGCTAATTTTGGTCCCCAAAGGCATTAACATTAGTATATTTAACATCTAATTCTGTGAGAGTAAGGGTTGGTTTGAATCCAAACCAGTGTTGGTGATTGTTGGAAAGACTGGAAAGACTAAACAAAGACGCTTTGGAGTTTTACTTTATTTTTGTTCCATTGTTCTACTCTTAACAGTCAATTGAGAGAAAAGTCACCATGGATAATCCATGTTAAAAGCCACATCCACCCCCTCTGATTTTTAGAAGAAAAAAATTGGAATCAGTTACAGCTGTGGTCCTAGTGGAACAAATGTGTTCTGTCCTCTGAAAAGCAAATCAAACAATTAATGGAAAAACTTAAAAATACATGTTGACAAAAGATCATCATACATCTGTGCACTGTGCATCAGTGTATGTTATTCAAAGTTTAGTAACAGTCAGCTCTCTAAATGAACTAGGGAGAGTTCTGTTCACTTAATGATGCTCTTTAATTATTAGTTTCTCAGTGCCCAGATTGCCCATGTTTAATTAATTCATAATTATTTATTAGTGTCTCAATGCCCAGATTGGCCTATGCAGCCAGCCACAGTCAGAATCGGCTGGTCTAATCATGACAAAAGGTGATATCTAAAGTCTCTCTCACACATTCGTTCAGTGACAATGATGGAATAAATCTCCTCAACTGTTCCAGTAAAGGCCGCAGCATCTCTTGTCCACAACAATGTGTTGCTATGGTGATGTTATTATTTCATATAAAAAATTTTTTTAGCAACACTGAAGATAAATTAAAATGCTATTTTAAGCACTCTCAATAGGTCATAGACTAGATAGATAGAGATACAAAAGCGGTTAATGGTATGGTATGGTCAGTCGTCGTTATGCTGTCATATGAATGTCATATGCTGATTCTTAGTGGTATGCCGCTGTTGTTCTATTGGCAGATACCACTCCCCACTACAGACATTACTTACATATTCCACTGCTGTTTATGATTAGCCGCCACTGCTTTGTGCAACATATAAAGGAAATCTCACACACTGGCAGTTATACATTCCACCAACCTACTGGTGGTATGCCACTCCATGCTGATTCTTTGTGGTAAGCACTTTGAGTATTGGTATGCCACTCAGCACTGTTCTACTGGCAAATTGGCTTTCTTACTTGCAATAAAAACCACACCACACACAAAAATGTGGCTAGTCCTTCAGTCCTTTTCAAAGATGGAATCTGTAACACGGCTGTCTTCATTTATCTGTATCTGTTAAAGTAATGGCTGTTTGTCATTCAGACAAAATCAATGATCCTGACCTAATGAGCCTGCTAGGTTTATAGTTAGTGTGGATTTTGAGTCCACTAGCTTAGTTATATTTTTTTCTAGCGCCACCATGAGTTTCACATTTATGGTTTGGAGTCAAACATCTTAACAACTGTGAATGAATTGTAATAACTTTGGTCATCCTCTGACCAACCGGCATTCAGCCTCAGCTGTTCGTGTTTTAAGTGTTCTAATTAACAGATGTTAGCACGCTAACTCGCCAAACTATGATGTGTTATATTTAGCTCAAAGCAGTAGGGTACAGCCAGACAGACCTGCTGGCAAGCCTTGTTTTAACCACTTTTGCGAGGGAGAAAAGCCACATTTCCATCGACTGATCTGACAAAAGAAGAATGTCCTTAACTTAAGTGAAAACTTAACATGTGCATTTACTTTCTATGTGCAAGTTTTACTTTGCTGCTTGTGTTGCTTTGGGGTTAAACCCACAGTATTCAATTCAGACAGCTGTGTTGGAAGTGTTATAGAAATGTTTTGGTCTGATTGCTGCCGTAACTTTAGGTAAAAGGGAAACTGGTGCTTATTTAGACATGTGACTGACATGTAAAATCACCGTCATATAGATAGACGTTTACATAGATAGGTAGAATTGACCATTCCTAAGCCCCGCCCCTTTTTGCTCTGTGCTCCAATGACAGCTGAGCAAGGCTCAACTTTCTCCTTTCCTATACTTAGATAAACCAAATTCTGAAGATGGTTAAAATTTAAAAGCGACATATATATAAGCACATCTTAAGTTAGCTAATGTTAGAAAAAAGCTAGCTAACTAGCTAGCTAATCAACATTAGCTCGCTAACATTAGCTAACTAAAGCTGACTATAAATGGCTTTTATCTTTCAACGATACACCAAAATTTGGTTGCCTTTTATAGATAATAGACTAGCACATAGCATATGTAAGTACAGGAACAGGAAGCGTTAATTGTCTAACACCTCACCAGTCGATTTATCTGTTTTTGTCTTTTATTCACACTTTTTCACATATATAAAACTTTAATAATTTGTTATCCTACAATAACCTGACAATGTCAGCAGCCCCTGTAAATGTTTAAAGTACAATCATTGCATCACGGTACTTACTGCAGGGCTGGATGTCACACAGGTCCACCCTGACCTGAGGGTCCAGGGTGAAGCACCAGGGCGCCTGCATCTGACCTCCTGGGTTACGACAGTAGTTGTGACTTCCCCAGAGCTCGGGGTATTCCTGGGACAGGTGGTGACTGTGAGGGTACTGAGCACTCCATGGCTGGCAGTGATGACCAGATTTAGTGATGCTGACTGTGCCCCTGTAGTCAGCCCCACTTCCATTGTAGCAGCTGTGGTCTGAGGGGGAATCTGTAGGACAAATAGTGACTCAGTATTGATCTTCTGACACACTATACCAGAGGTGACGTACATTTTGTGGTTTTACAAAATTATTTCATATTCAGAACATATAGATTTTTCTCTCTGTGGTTTGTGTGCCACAACACAGTTTGTGCAACTGAGTAGAGCGACTCAAATTGTTGTTTTTGTCATCTACACCAGCGATTTAATGATTTCTTTCAAACAAAACAGAGTTGGTTTGAACAGTCCACTTTGAATGAAGTTACGATGTTACGATGATCTACAAGGTGAAGTTAGTGTTTTTGTTTGGTGGCGAGCAATAGCAATATTATGGTTGTTTCTGGTTACACAAAAGGTCTTTCTCTGTAGGGATCCTTTCCATAATGTTGTCAGACACTTAGAATCACTCTAACCTGAGCCTGTCAGTGGCAAAAAGAAACACTTTAAGCAGCTATTTTTGCATCTTACTGTGAATTAAGGGTATATTTCTAATTACAAAATTACCTGCTGCAGATTTAACATACAGACATGAGATTGATATCTATCCAAACATTTCCCTGAAAAAGATATCAAATAAGCGCATTTCCCTAAATTTTGAGCAAAAAAAATCATATACATATATATGTATGAGATAATTGATGCTAGGCTTTGAAGTTGTAAAATAACATCCCCAGTCCAGTTAAGTACCAAATGTGACAGTATTTACATCTAAGATGAAGTGTGCCCACCGGACCGACATGCAACTTGTTTTCTGTACCAGCTCTTCCTCATCTCCCCCCAGCTGACATTTCGACATCATCCAAGTAATTTTCATTATCCAACTTAGACTGAACACATTGTTAATTACATCACTTGAAAGTGTGAGGTGGAACAATAGCAACTTATTGCCCCACAAAAACTCAAAAGCATATTTTTACAGACAGCGACTGCTTGTTTATGCTTTGTACTTTTTTGAGTGCAGAGTGAGGTAAACTAAAGTGACTGTCTACTTGTTGTCTACTTGTTGTAATCATTTGTTAATTAATTTAATGAGCAGGGCATTTTTACATCAATAATTTTAATGTGTGCATGCTGTAGCATCCACCTACATGGACCCAGTTTTTCTTGGGGCACTCCTATCCTCATACAGGAAGCAGCATCAGGTGTGCCCGGCCGTGGCAGCAGGTGGCAGCTGGGGAGCTCCAGCTGCATGAGGATCATGGGATTCGATCGAGCGATGGTGTACTCGGCGTGGCACAGGTCATTCTCCAGGGCCTCACACTCATCTCGACAGAGCTGACGCTGCTGAGGGGCCCGAGAGCCCTCGTCACACAGAGGGAAGACGTAGTAGCAGAGGGAAGGGATGGCAAACCTGGAGCACTGATCCGATAGGTGGGTGGAGGTACCAATCATGGTGATGGCAGCTTAGAGGGCAGAAAAAAGAAACACATTTCCCACATAATTATGTAATCTCAGATAATTTTAGTAGCTATAGCCAGTTGTTTAAGAGGGCTTTAGGTAAGAGTTTCTTACCTGTGATGCGGTTTTCACTCTCCCCCTGCATCTGAAGAGACTCAACATAGATGCTCTGGTTGCCGATGAAGCGAGCACAGGCAATACCTCGGTATGGCTGGCAGAACCCTTTTTCATGCGACCTGAAAAGGAAAACAAATAGAATTAAAAAATTAGATACAAATGTTAGAAAGAAGAGGAAGAATGCAAAAATGACAAAAAGGTGAGTAAACAAAAAGCTAAGCCCAGGAGGTAGTTACATTTTTACAGCAACCACTTACAACTACTACTGTGGGACTCAGGGAGGGGGGGCCATAAATGCATCACTGTCTGCGTGCTGGTGCCATTTTTCTTTTTCTTTGCCTCTGCCCCTCAAACAGTCCACCACTGCCACTGGGGCCAACTTGGGTTAAACACTGGGGAGGAAGCTTTTACTGGAAGAAGTTAGCCACCATATTTGGATTTATCACCCATTGTTTGAAATGTCTGCAACTTGTCTGCCCTGCCTTTACATTGACACACACTCAAATGTCAAGCCAACAGTTCACAACCTGTTAACTGCATATGACTGTGTCGATTAGCCATTCCTAGAAAACAAATTAAATCCATTATTTATTTATTTTTCCCTCCTAATATCTGTTAGTGGAACGTTACTGTTACTGAAGAACCAATGGATAACTGAGAGCTAATTTTTGGGAACACTACTTTGAAAAAACAAACTTAACTCTAGGTCCTTTTACTAGCCAACCTTTTAGTCCCTTTGGAAACCACTTCTTACAGCATAAAGATCAGTGGTGAGGAACGTCCCACACAGAGCACAACATCTTACCATTACAGCAAGTGTAAACCCACCATGACATCACCAATTGGTTTCTGGACAACCGTTACACCAAGCTACAAGTCTGGCATTATGGTTGTTGCCATCTTGGTTTCTTGGAGCCAGAAAGTTTTCCAGCAGGAAAAAATGGTGGCATGCCTGGTCACAAACCTCTTATTACAGCTAAACAGAACACTAAAATATTTAGATGAGAAATAGACAATGTGGTAACAGAATTTAGAGCCATATTTCATTAGCACTGTGTCATTTTTGATCTGAGTTCCTGCTTTATCATCTATTTTACTCTAATGGGACCATGTCACTCATGTTCCTTACATCATGCTGTATGGAAGAAGAGCTCATAAATCAAGTGAGAAGTAGGGTCATTTCTCCATAAGGCTCAGTTCTATCAGACTTCATTTTTGCATCCCACGGAGCTCCCCCCTGCTAACCAATAGAAGGAATGCAGGTTTAAAGCTGCACTTTTATAAAAAAAATAGCTTTTTGTCATATTTGCT